CTTTAAAAAGATCTTTTAACTATGGAGCAATTGAAACTTATACCAGAGGAAGCTGAGATGTGGAAGAAGCTGCTAGCCTTGGACTCAGCCTTAGTAGCCCTCCACCCATGGCCAGTCCTGCCTCGTCTACATCCTGTCCACTTCCTTCACCTGCATAAATAAATAAATATGTCATAAATATTTTAGCATGCTTCTCTCAAAGGTAAACATTACTTTTTAGTATTAGCACAATAATTTTCATCAGGCTTAAAAGTAATATTCGTTTTAGGGCTATTTTAGGAGGAGAAAAGAAATGGCCTTTAAACATTTGCAAACATGTTAGCTCTTAGGTCCTTGTGTGTTCTCTAGCATTTGACCTCAAGCATGTTGGTATTTTCCAAACACGGTGTTGTTGGGACTTCTCAGGGTTGGATGTTGTTTCATGTTGTGGCTGAGGCTCTGGACTGCTGTCTGTCCCTTGCTCTAAGAGGGACCAAGGTTTGCTCCCATCAGCTGGACTCTATTTGCATGTTCGAGGTGATTCCCCAGAGGCCCTTCTGGCTTTTAAAGCTCCTATTCAATCAGCAAATATTTGCCGAGAGTCACAATGTGTCCATCACTGTTGGCTGCTGCAGTTAGTGTGGGAAAGAAGACAGATGAGGCCTGGACCCGTGGCTGCCTGGGGAGCAGGCCTCTGATCCGAAGGACACCCAGAGTCACCTAGGCATGGCTGTGGTCATGGGGAGAATGGGCATGAGGAGCTTAACTTCTGGAGGGTTAAGGAAGTCACTCTGGAGGAAGAGACATGTCTGTCTAGCAGTGTGGCAGAGGGAAGAGCCCTGCGAGCAGCATGAGGCAAGAGGAGTTGGTAGAAGAATGGGGTAGGTGAGGATGGGGAAGTGGAGAGGAGCCCCCCAACTCTGGCCTTCCTCTTCCAAATGGTTCTGGCCCTTGAGGGCTCGGCTCCTGGCTTCCCTGCCCCTTTAAACTCTTGGATGAACCAGTAACATTTACACAGTAGGGATGTGAGGGCTCAAGGAAATAAGAGTTTCCTTTAGCCTCATAAAAATCACTGTGCGGCAAACATTATCCTCCTTTTCATTCTTCATGTGCAGCCTTTCCCTGCGTGGTCCAGTGTTATCCCCTAAGGAACATCATGCCCCCAGCCCTGCTTCTCAGTGACCAGGCCCTTTATTGGAGGTCTTTTATTTAGACGACATTCTAACAATTTTTACTTTTTGTTTCCTTTGAAAATTGAAATAAAGGAGGGCTGGGGCGATGGCTTAATGGTTAAGAAGGTGTTCTGCTTTTGCAGAGGACCTGAGTTTAGTTTCCAACATCCGTATTGGGTGGTTCACAACTGCCTGCAATTCTAGCTTCAGGGCATCTGGCACCCTCTTTTAGGTTTGTGCATACCCGTGCTTACCTGTTCGTGTACCCCTACACACACACACACACACATATACAGATAACTACAAATACGTCTCTTAAAAGTAATATTTTATTAACTTTTTTGAGACTTTCATGCTATATGTTTGTATTCATATTCACCCCTCCCCCAGCTCCTCCCTTACCCACCCCCATTTCACTATCTCCCAACTTCATGTCCTTCTTTATTTAAAAAAACAATCTAGTCCAGCTTGTGCTGCCCAGAAATTTTTGGGTGTGGGGCTGTCCCCTGGAGTGTGGCCGACCTTCCAGCTGTCACACCCTTAAAGAAAATGGGCCCTCTCAGCAGTTATCAGATGCCAATAGCTCCAGCTAGGGGCGGGACTTCATATCCACCCCCAAAATAAATCATCTTTTTTTAAAAAAATAGTTTACATAAAAATGATTCAACAACAACAACAGGTCATGGGACTAAAGGACGCTGAAGGAAAGATGACATTCTGTTCCCACTGAGGAGATTGTCACCAAACGTTGGGATTGTATCTTTTTAGCAATTTTCTTTTTGTTTGTTTGTTTGTTTTTGCTTTTTGAGACAAGATTTCTCTGTGTAGCCCTGACTGCCCTAGAACTTGCTCTGTAGACCAGGTTGACCCCGAACTCACAGAGATCTGCCTCCCTCTGTCTCCTGAGTTAAAGGTGTATGTCACCACCACTTGACATAGAAATTTTTTATTCACAATCTTAAAATAAAAAACAGGAATGTAAAATTTTCTCTTTTTCACTCAGTGTATCTTAGGCATCTTTCGATGCACACAGATCCTGCTCTTTGTTGAGACAGTCGTTCACTGTGCAGCCCAAATAGACCTGAACTCACTGGGCAATTCCAATTAGTCTCAAACTCAGGGCAATTCCCCTGCCTCAGACTTCTCAGTGCTGGGATAGTAGGCCTGACCCTGTCCTGGCATTGTCCTCGTCTCCCAGGTGGTGAGCTCCTCTGTCTAGCCCCCAGTCCTCTGGGCACCTTGCTGTGCTGTGTGTCTCATCAGAGCCCAGTGTCGTCAACAACCTGTTTTTCAGGAACTGGGTGGGGTCAGGGCTGGAAGAACAGCTTGTGTTTCCTGGTCTGTGGGGA